AGGCATTTTCTCACGCGTGAAAGGAGAGCTTGGTCTAAAAGTTTTTGTTACTGATGACCCGTCTATAAGATCCTCAAATCCACTGCCTGCAATGGATTCCTCTCTGGATAATGATTCGCGCTCTACCCATGTTCAAGCACAATTGCAAAAAGTTAAAGATGTTATTCCAGACTCATTCTCCAATGACAAAGCTGAGTCGAGACGCACTTTTCATCACCTTCCAAACCCAAACCTAGCACGGCAGCAGAACATTCCTTCAGCGGCAATCCAGCCACCAGTGAACTATGGGATGCAGGAAATGAGGTCTGAACCACAGGCTCCAAAAGTTGTTCGCACGTATTCAGGTTCATCATCTCAAGCGCCTGATTATTCGCTTAAAGAGACAAGTCCTTACCTTGGAGGGGGGCAAATTGTTGGAGGGCGAGTTATACGTGCAGACAGGCCATCCGGCACATATGACCTTGTTCAAAAGATGCAATACCTATTTGTTCGAGTTGTGAAAGCCCGTGACCTTCCTCACATGGATGTAACAGGGAGCCTTGACCCATATGTTGAAGTTAGAATTGGGAACTACAAAGGAACTACAAGGCATTTTGAGAAAAAGCAGAACCCTGAATGGAATGAGGTATTTGCTTTTGCAAAGGAGAATGAGCAATCATCTGTTTTGGACGTTGTGGTCAAAGACAGGGATCTTTTAAAAGATGACTTTGTTGGGTTAGTGCGGTTTGATCTTCATGAAGTTCCTACACGAGTTCCACCTGACAGTCCATTGGCTCCAGAATGGTATCGGCTTGCAAATAAGGATGGGAAGAAGGAGAAAGGGGAACTGATGCTTGCTGTATGGTATGGCACACAAGCTGATGAGGCTTTTCCGGATGCCTGGCATTCTGATGCAATTGGTCCTGATGATGGTTCTTCAGTTGCTTATGGACATATCCGCTCAAAAGTTTACCATTCACCAAGATTATGGTATGTACGAGTAAATGTGATTGAGGCACAGGACTTGGTTCTATCTGACAAGTCCCGCTTCCCAGATGCATATGCAAAAGTACAGATTGGAAATCAGATTTTGAAGACAAAGCCAGTTCAGTCTCGAGTTATGAACCCAATTTGGAATGAGGACCTGATGTTTGTTGCCGCTGAACCCTTTGATGACCATCTGGTCATTTCAATTGAAGATCGCGTAGGTCCAAGCAAGGATCAGACCTTAGGAAAGGTTGCAATACCACTGAACACTATTGAGAAGCGTGCTGATGATCGAAAGATCCGTGACCGGTGGTATAACCTTGAAAAGCACATGTCAGATGCCATGGAGGGGGAGCAGCGGAAGAAAGATAAAGATAAGTTTTTCAGTAGAATCCATCTCCGTGTTTGTCTTGATGGAGGGTACCATGTGCTTGATGAGTCAACTCACTACAGTAGTGACCTTCGACCCACAGCTAAGCAGCTCTGGAAGTCAAATATTGGTGTGTTAGAACTTGGAATTCTGAATGCTGAAGGGCTACACCCAATGAAAACAAGGGATGGGAAGGGTACATCAGACACATATTGTGTAGCAAAATATGGGCACAAATGGGTTCGTACTCGAACCATAAATAACAGCCAAAGCCCGAAATACAATGAGCAGTACACTTGGGAGGTTTTTGACCCTGCCACAGTTCTCACGGTGGGGGTTTTCGATAATAGTCAGATTGGTAATCCAAATGGCAGCGGAAAGGATATGAAAATTGGCAAGGTCCGGATTCGAATCTCTACCCTTGAGACTGGCCGTGTCTACACACACAATTACCCATTACTAGTCCTTCATCCTTCAGGTGTCAAAAAGATGGGTGAATTGCATCTTGCAATTAGATTTTCATGCACATCACTGGTTAACATGATGTTCAAATACTCTCGACCCCTTTTGCCGAAGATGCATTATGTAAGGCCATTGACTGTAGTGCAGCAAGATATGTTACGTTACCAAGCTGTCAACATAGTGGCAGCTCGTCTTAGTCGGGCAGAACCACCTCTTAGGAAGGAAGTAGTTGAATACATGTCTGATGCAGACTCTCATCTTTGGAGCATGAGGCGCAGCAAGGCAAACTTCTTCCGACTTATGTCAGTTTTTTCGGGGTTGTTTGCTATTGGAAAATGGTTTGGAGAAGTATGCATGTGGAAAAACCCCATCACAACAGCGCTTGTACATGTTCTATTCGTGATGCTTGTGTGCTTCCCAGAACTGATTTTGCCAACTGTTTTCCTATACATGTTTCTGATAGGGATTTGGAATTGGAGGTATCGCCCAAGGTACCCTCCTCACATGAACACAAGGATCTCATATGCAGATGCTGTGCACCCTGATGAGCTTGATGAAGAATTCGACACATTCCCAACATCACGGGGTTCAGATATAGTTCGAATGAGGTATGATCGCTTGAGGAGTGTTGCCGGAAGGATTCAAACTGTGGTGGGTGATGTTGCAACGCAAGGGGAGCGGCTTCAGGCACTTCTCAGTTGGCGTGATCCTCGTGCCACTACTTTATATATTACATTCTGTCTTGTGGCTGCTATTGTGTTGTATGTGACGCCTTTCCAGGTTCTGGTTCTTCTTGGTGGGGTTTACTTGATGAGGCACCCCAGGTTCAGGGGTAAGATGCCATCAGCCCCAGTTAACTTCTTCAGAAGGCTGCCAGCAAGGACAGATAGTATGTTGTAAACAGTCTATTGAGATGTGCTAAAGTTTGTCCTGCTAGTTTATCGATTTCGGATTTGCACGGCAGTACTTGTAAATCTTATGGTGTATCTGCTGCTGTTCTGTTTATTGTTTATTTGGCCCCTGGAAGTTTATACAGATGTTTGCAAACTGTTGGAATCAAGGTTAGTGGTAATGATGTTTTGTTCTGTATTTTCAAGCATCTGCCAATGGTGAAGGCAGCACAATACTATTGATTTGCTCCAATTATGTTGGTAGATGAATTCAAATCTTGCTTAGTAAAGTTTATTTTACCATCCTGTTCCAAGTAGTGATTGAAAGTAATTTTGTGGTTATAAATATGCATTTGTAAAACACAGTGTGTCCGGGGATGAATGAAGCTGCGGAGGAATCTGCATTTGTCTTACAATAAGCCCTTAATTTCATGAGAAACCAAATTCTAATTGTCATCTCCACATACAAACATCTAAAAAATTCTTGCAGGATCTCTCTTAGTTAGTTGTCGCAAGTCCCCTTGAACTCTCCTCCTTGCAGCATCCCGAAGGTAACAACTTTAAACCAAGCAAGCAGGCTACTTGCATAGGTTGGGAGATTAGGCTTATAGAACTTAATCAAAGTTATCTCTGAAATTTAATCCTACCTCTAAACTTTATCAAGGCTATGCATGAAATTTGACATTCAAAAGATTGGTGAACAAGTAAAGCATTACTGGTTTCCAATGCCTTTTCTTTTTGACATAAGATTTGCATGCAAAAATTTCACTTGTAGGGTATTTTGTGTTATTATTGGTGAAGCGGGGATATATAAGATATGTGATTACACTAATGGAGATGTTTATTTTACAAGACAATGTAGTATGTTGCTTGAATGTATGGTGCTCGGTTGAAAGCTCAATAGCATAACGTGCCAAATATCTTACAAAATTACTTGTTTCATTATTTCAATTAAAACTCGATGCACCAGCAACTTGGAAATAGAGGAAAGAAGAAATTAGAGATAATCAAAGTGCAGGCAGCCTCACATTCTTAACACTATCAGGTATGAGCTAACAAACCCAATGAACCACTCACACTAATTTTATTACAAGATGGAAGAAACATCTCAATTAGGCATCAGACCAGAATATATCCAATTCACCCCAGTCACTTTCTGGCACTCCCAAGGCCTTCCAAACAGCTTTGGAGGCATCCACAATATTGTTAGGACATGGAGGCTGGTAATTGTGGGAACCAATTAAATCAAAACCCTAGGTCAAATAATTCCTTTCATTTGGGGATTATTTGACCTAATTGGGAATTACTCAACCTAATTGGGAGTTACTCAATTTAATTGGGGGTTACCCAATTAAATTGATAATTACCTAATTAAATTGAGATTTGATTTGATTCCTACCACAATTAGGGATTTGACTTACCCTAATAAATCAAATCCCTAATTAATCAAATCAATGCCAAATCGGGGAGGAATAATTCCTTACCAACTACGGAATTATTCCTCTGAAACCTTAGCCTCCGAGACCACTATAAAAAGATGGCCACACACAAGGGTGAAGGTACGTCTAAATTCCTACTGAAACTCTGCAGAAATCATTTCTCCAAAACCCTAGCCACCATATTCTTTCTCTCTCTGACACACGGCTCCGGCCACCCGGTTTTCCTTGAAATACCCTACCTAACTTAGGCATCGAAGGGCCTTTGGCCAACACCCCCCGGGTGTGGTCCTTTTACCCTGATTTGTTTTGCAAAGAGAAAGAGAAAAGGAGAAGACGAATGAATCTTTGGCGAATATTCTAGTGGGACGAAATTTGCTCCCACAAATTGGTGCTTTCATTGAGAGCACGAGATATATTCAAAGCGTGCTCCATATCCATCTTTTACACATTTTTTCAAACAACCATGGTTGATACAAGACATACGAAAAGTAACGCCACCACGACGGGCCTATCTCATGGTTTTGTGGTGGAAACCTCAATGCAACCGCACGAAATCGTGGCTGCCAACGCCTTGCAGCCATCTTCTAGTGCTTTGCAGTCGCCTTCAGCTGCTGGAATTGCAGAACAGCCGCCACATGACCCCGGGACCTCCATAGCCTTGCAGTCGCCAGCGCCGATTACCGAAGCTGCTCTGCCTCGCTGTCCTGTCGTCGGAGCACAACAGTAGCCACACACTCAACTACCGGATTTGCTACGCAGCCCCATGGCTACTCAGACGTCGTCCCAGTCTTGGAGCAGATCCATTCTCTCCCTCCTTTGCAATCACACTTGACATATGCACCTGTGTACGCGTCTAATGGAGCCCTATCCCATATGCCGTTGAGCCCGATGCACAACACACTACTTGACCCGCGTAGTCAGGTGGACCTTAACTCACGGGTCGATCAACTCACACAAAAGGTCGATGAGCAAAACAACCTGATTGGTCAGCTACTCAGGCAGATCAACTTGAATCACCTAACCTTGGACCCCGTGACGAGGAAAGGAGGGCACACGAGCATGCTGGCGAGCAGTTCGAGAGGTCCCAGGCTAGTTAGACAGGGGCAAACTGGCAGGGGAGAGAGCGAGATCGTGCAGACGAGACGCAGACAGCTGTGAGCCGTACACTGAGCCGTTCGAGGTTAGGTCCAAGGACCAATGTGCTCGAGAGGCCAGGCTCACAGTCTAATGTCCATGCTCGCTTGGGCCCATAAGGAGCTCGAGTTTGTGAGCGGTCGCGTGATGAGCACAACGATTGACGCCCACCAGCCTGCTCGAGGACCAGCACGCGGCGACAAGCTGTAGAGGGATCCTCCCAAACTCAACCTTCTCACCTGCCCCACGGGTAAGGCAACCAAGGGGATTGACCCTTGGGAGCTGAAGAAGAAGTTAGCCAGTCACGCTCGAGGCACCGAAGACGTCGACCTGAGCAACCCACCTTGCGAGCAGAGGATGACGATCGACGCCCACTAGCCCGCTCAAGGGCCAACACGCGGCGACAAGCTGCAGAGGAATCCTCACAAGCTTAATCTCCTAATCTACCCCAAGGGCAGGGCACCCAAGGGGATTGACCCTTAGGAACCGAGGAAAAAGTTAGCCAGTAGCGCTCGAGGCACCGAAGACGTCGGCCCGAGACTCCAACCTGCGGGCAGAGGATGTCGAGAAGCTAGTAAATGACCAACTCCGAGGTTTCCGACTTAAAGGAAGCACGAAGGAGGCCCTGTGCAAGGAAATAGATAGAGTTGACTGCTCGCCTTTTACCGACGAGGTGGAACGAGCTCCGCCGCCGAAGCGGTTTACAACACCATCCATCACTCCATTCAAAAGGGACTCTGACCCTGAGAGCCATTTGAGGCACTTCAAGAGCGCCATGATCCTGTACAAGGCAAACGACGCCCTGATGTGCAAAGTGTCGCGATGACTCTGCGAGGAGCAGCTTAAGATTGGTTCCACACTCTACTGCCCGCGTCAATAGGAAACTTCAAGGAGTTCGCCCTCATTTTCACGAAGGAGTACACCTCCTACAAGACGGTTAGAAAACATGTGGACTACCTGTTCAACCTGTGCAAGAAGCCAGACAAGTCTCTTCGAGACTACCTGAGACAGTTTAAGGCTGAGAAGGCTAACATCATAGGATGCAACGACCAAGTTGCATCCTCTGCTTTCAAGAAAGGCTTGCCAACCGAGCACGAGCTTTACCGGGAGTTGGCCATAACTCCAAGCCAAACCTTGGCAGAAGTGTTCGCGACGGCAGAGCGGAACGCACTTTGGGACGATCGTATCGCCGCAAAAAAAGCCAGCAAGCAAGTTGATCACCCGACGAAGCAGGCAAGCCAAAAGACCAACAAGTTCGAGCATAAAGCATGGGACAAGCGTAGATCGCGGCCCCAAGAGGGAGGCTCAGAAACGGGGACCTTCACTGAGTTTACCATCCAAATTCACCAGATTCTGGCACAAGTGAAGGACAAGCCGTGGGTGAGAAGACCACCACCTATGAAAGGAGACCCCTCTAAGAGGGACACTAGTAAATACTGTACCTTTCACGGGGAGCACGGTCATTACACCAACAACTGCAATGCCTGAAAAAGGCACCTTGAGGAGCTGGTCAAAGAAGGTCATTGCACAGAAATTATCGCAAAGAAGGCCATCCAGCAGATCGAGGATCGTGATGCAATTGCCAGGGAACCTCCCCAAAAGGTCATTCGAATTAACACCATTCTAGCTTACTCCCAAGAGTCCGAGCTGACCACCAAGGAGCGCAAGAGAAAGGTCGCACAGGTGACTTATGTCTCTCAAGTCACAACGGGAATACCAGTTACTGTGGACTCGAGCTTCCCATGGCTTCCAGAAGAAGGACTCGATCGGGCTTGACCTGCAGCACAATGACACCCTAGTTATCTGCATCCGAATTGAACAAGCTGAGATCGAGCGAGTTCATGTAGATGAAGGCAGCGCAGCCAATATCCTACAACTATCTGTTGTCCAACATATGAGATTGGAGCCCAAGATTAGCAAACTTGCCAGATCATTCATCGCCTTCAATGGGGCCACATCAATCACCGTTGGTACGATCGACCTTGACGTCCACTCACCCCTAGTGGTCTGCTCGCAAACTTTCATGGTCATCGACAAGGTCTCCCCCTACAACGAAATCTTGGGCCGGCCGTGGATCAGTAAGATCGAGGCCATCACATCTACACTTCACCAAAAGATCTGCTACCCCATCCCTGGGGGCGGGATCGGGCAGATCAACAGTGACTAAGCCATGGGAAGGAGATGCACAGCCCAATGGCTTAAGAAGAGCAAGCAGTTGCAGTTCACACCTATCATGCAAGCTGCCAACGAGGTAGGAAGCCCTTCTAGCAGACAAGCAAGCATGAACGGGAAGAGAGTTGCTACCTCACAATAACAATTAAGGAGCCAGGATCAAGGCGAGGGAATCTACCTGGAAGACTCCCTTAAAAAGGATTGGAATTATAAGGATGACGTCGAGTTAGTACCCCCTGATCCTGGCCAGCCAAACAGAGAAGCGCAGATCGGCTCTTGCAATAATCCAAACAAGAAGGATCAAGACGAGAGAATCCGCCCAGAAGGCTCCCTTGAAGAAGATTGGAAGCCTGAGGAAGACGTTGAGTTAGTACCCCTCGATCCTGATCAGCTAGACAAGAAGGCGCGGATTGGCTTGCGCCTAAGCCCAGACGAGAAGGTGGAGCTGACCACCTTCCTCCAGAACAACAAATACATGTTCGCATGGTCGCCATCTGACATGCTCGGTATCGACCCGAACATTATCTGCCACCGGCTCCATGTTAACCATGCTAGTAATCCCGTGGTGCAGAAGAGACGCAACTTCGCTCCCGAGCGGGTCGCGATTATTGAAGCCGAGATCGACAAGCTTCTAGCTCCTGGTTTTATTGAAAAGGTCTCATACTCAGAATGGCTGGCCAATGTTGTTCTGGTGGCGAAGCAAGAAAAGGGCAAATGGAGAGTATGCGTTGATTACACCGACCTCAACAAAGCATACCCTAAAGACAACTTCCCATTGCCGAGAATCGACCAACTTGTGGATTCAACTTCCGACAATCAGCTACTCAGCTTCATGGATGCCTATTCCGGTTATAACCAAATTATGATGTACGACGATAATAAGACGAAGACCTTTTTCATCATCGAAAGAGGGACCGACTGTTACAAGGTCATGCCCTTTGGGCTGAAGAACGCCGGAGCAACCTACTAAAGGCTCGTGAATAAAATTTTCAAGGAGCAGATTGGCATAACCATTGAGGTCTACGTGGATGATATGCTGGTCAAAGCCCCAAAGCAGGCAGACCACCTCAAAAACCTCACCGAGGCGTTTAGCCTGCTCCGCCAATATCGCATGAAGATGAATCCAAGTAAATGCAAGTTCGGTGTATCATCTGGCCGGTTCCTGGGGTACTTAGTGACGCAACAAAGTATTGAGGCACACCTGCGCCAAATCAAAGCCATTCTCGAGATGAAGTCGCCTTCCACAGTAAAGGAAATACAAAGCCTGACGGGTAACAGATTCCTCTCAAAATCTATCGACAAGTGCAGACCATTCTTCAAAGTTTTGAAGAAGGGGCAAAAAGATAAGTGGGATGAGGAGTGCGAAGTAGCTTTCCAGAATCTAAAGACTTACCTCACTTCACCTCCCCTGCTCTCAAAGCCAGTTCTTGGTGAAGACTTGTTCATGTACCTGGCAGTGTCCAACTCAGCCGTCAACTTAGCTCTCATCCGAGAAGAACTTGGGGCCCAACATCCAATATTCTACACTTCAAAAGCTCCTCTCGATGCAGAGACTCGCTACCCGAAATTGGATAAGCTCCTTTTGGCCCTTGTAGTTTCCGCGAGAAAGCTGCGACCCTATTACCAAGCTCATCGAGTAATCGTCATGATCGACTTTCCTTTGAGATCAATCCTCCACAACCCTGATGCTTTTCAGCGACTCATGAAGTGGGCTATAGAGCTAAGCCAATACGACTTCCTCTACCGGCCGAAGACTGCAATAAAAGCCCAAGCCTTGGCAGACTTTGTTGCAGAATTCACTCCATCAGCCGAAGAAGATAAGCTGGTCAGCAAAAAGAAGGAAAGTTCGAGAGCAGACAAGACCACCGCTGAACCTGACCAACCCAGAGAAATGTGGCAGTTGCGCGTAGATGGAGTGTCGAACCAAAAAGGAGCTGGCGCAGGCGTCGTTATCATCACCCTGGATGGAACCCTGCTAGAGCAAGTTATCATGCTTGGCTTCCCGGCTTCAAACAACGAGGCAGAGTACGAGGCATTGCTCGCTGGCTTGCGCTTGGCAAAGAAGCTATCAATCAAAAAGCTAGCCATCTACTTAGATTCCCAGCTGATCACAAGTCAAGCCTCAGGAGAATACATGACGAAGTACCCGAGGATGATCTTGTACCTTGACAAAGTCCAAGAGTTGTTGAAGGCGTTTCCCACCTTCACCATCAAGCAAATGCACTGGCAAGCTTAGGATCAGCGTTGGATACCCAGTTCAAACGCTCCATCCCGGTCGAGCACCTTGACCAGCCTAGCATAGAAGAGGTAGAGCAGCCGGACCTGATACAGATCGATGAGGATCCTAGCTGGCAAGACCCCATCATTGACTACCTAGTGAATGAAAACTTGCCCGAGGACAAGTCCGAAGCAAGAAAAATCAAGCAGAAGGCTGCAAGATACTACATGAAAGGCGACATGCTTATCCGCAGATCATACTCCGGGCTTCATCTCACTTGCATCAAGTACCTGCAAACGCTCGAGGTTCTCTGCAAAATACACGACGGTGAATGTGGAAATCACGCTGGGGGCAGATCGCTTGCTCAGAAGGTTCTCAGCATCGGCTATTTCTGGCCTACCATGCGCCAAGACTTCACGAAGTATGCTCGAAAATGTGATCGATGCCAACGCTACAAGCCAGTTCTTGGCCTGCCTACTGAGGAATACCATCCATAGAACAGTCCATGACCATTCATGCAGTGGGTCATTGACTTGGTGGGACCTATGCCGACGGCACCTGCCAATAAGGAGATGATGATTGTTGCCACTGATTACTTCACCAAATGGATTGAGGCCGAGGATTTATCTTCTAACAAGGAAGCCGATGTTGAATGGTTTATCTGGAAGAACATTATTTGCAGATTCGATTGCTCGCAAGCGATAGTCATCGACAAGGTACATAGTTCGTGGGCAGGCAGACCACCGTATTCCTTGCGAAGTATGACATCAAACAACACCTGTCAACTCCCAGATACCCGCAAGGCAATGGCCAAGCAGAGGCATCCAACAAGATCGTGCTGGACTGTCTAAAGAAAAGACTGGAAGGCGCAGAAGGAAAATAGGTCGACGAGCTGCCAGGAGTCCTATGGGCTTATTACACAACCAAAAGGAGATCAACATGAGACACACCATTTTCACTGGCCTATGGGACAGAAGCAATCATTCCCCCACACATCACAGTCCCTTCCATGAGCATCGAGGTGGGCAGTCTTGACCAAAACTGCAAGCAGATGAAAGTCAACCTTGATATGCTCAAAGAGGAACGAGAAAAGGTCATTGTTCGAGTTGCAGCTTACCAGCAATAGCTCACATCTTGCTACAATAAGAAGGTCATTGTTCGAGTTGCAGCTTACCAGCAGCAGCTCACGTCTTACCATAGCAAGAAGACCATTGTTCGAGCAGCAGCATACCATCAGCAGCTGGCATCTTACGACAACAAGACCATTGTTCGAGTTGCAGCTTACCAGCTCGACTCCAAGTAGGCGACAAGCCTCCCTTACCTCCATTGAAGGCAAGGTGCTCCTCGAAGCACAAACTCAATGGAGTCTTTTTCAAGTGTTATGTCCTTAACATACGCTCGTAAGCGACAAGCCTCATCTCAATTGCAGACAAGTTGCTCCTCGAAGCACAAACTCAATGGAGTCTTTTTCGAGTATTGTGTCCCCGACATACGCTCACAGGCGACAAGCCTCATCTCCATTGCAGACAAGCTGCTTCACGAAGCACAAACTCAATGGAGCCTTTTTCGAGCATTGTGTCCCCGACATACGCTCACAGGCGACAAGCCTCATATCAATTGCAGACAAGCTGCTCCACGAAGCACAAACTCAATGGAGTCTTTTTCGAGCATTGTGTCCCCGACATACGCTCGCAGGTGACAACCCTTGTCTCCATTGCAGACAAGCTGCTTCATGAAGCATAAACTCAGTGGAGTCTTTTTGGAGCATTGTGTCCCCGACATACGCTCACAGGCGACAAGCCTCATCTCCATTGTAGACAAGCTGCTTCACGAAGCACAAACTCAATGAAGTCTTTTTCGAGCATTGTGTCCCCGACATACGCTCACAGGTGACAAGCCACATCTCCATTGCAGACAAACTGCTTCATGAAGCACAAACTCAATGAAGTCTTTTTCGAGCATTGTGTCCCCGACATACGCTCACAGGCGACAAGCCTCATCTCCATTGCAGACAAGCTGCTTCACGAAGCACAAACTCAATGAAGTCTTTTTCGAGCATTGTGTCCCCGACATACGCTCACAGGTGACAAGCCACATCTCCATTGCAGACAAGCTGCTTCATGAAGCACAAACTCAATGAAGTCTTTTTCGAGCATTGTGTCCCCGACATACGCTCACAGGCGACAAGCCTCATCTCCATTGCAGACAAGCTGCTCCACGAAGCACAAACTCAATGGAGTCTTTTTCGAGCATTGTGTCCCTGACACACGCTCACAGGCGACAAGCCTCATTTCCATTGCAGACAAGCTGCTTCACGAAGCACAAACTCAATGAAGTCTTTTTCGAGCATTGTGTCCCCGACATACGCTCACAGGTGACAAGCCACATCTCCATTGCAAACAAACTGCTTCATGAAGCACAAACTCAATGATGTCTTTTTCGAGCATTGTGTCCCCGACATACGCTCACAGGCGACAAGCCTCATCTCTATTGTAGACAAGCTGCTCCTCGAAGCATAAACTCAATATAGTCTTTTTCGAGCATTGTGTCCCCAACATACGCTCGCAGGCGACAAGCCTCATTTCCATTGTAGACAAGCTACGAAGCAAAAACTTAATGGAGTCTTTTTCGAGCATTATGTCCCCGACATATGCTCGCAAGCGACAAGCCTCACCTCCATTGAAGGCAAGCTACTCCTCGAGTACAAACTTCATGGAGTCTTTTCAAGCGTCATGTCCTCGACATACGCATACAGGCGACGAGCCTTATCTCTATTGTAAGTAAGCTACGTGGCGAGTACAAACTCAATGGAGTCTCTTTCAAGTGCTATGTCTCCGGATGTACACTTATGACAAAGCAGCCAACCAGCACCGTCTACTCAACAGCCTCACCTGCCTGCTCCTTCGCATATGGTCTAGCTTTATCAGCTACGCTACCTTGGGAGTTGTCTTTCTCTATTGCAGCTTCATCTGCTATTTGCTCTTCAACTGCTTCTGCATCCACAACATTGCTATGCTCACTTTGAGTAGGGGCAGGTCAAGATAAAGCTGTTTACCGTCTTCATGTTCAAGAGGGCAACAAGGAGAAGCACTATTCCTGCAATCCAAGTATCCCAGCTTGTACGCATTAGCGACGATCTCATGCTTGGATGCCTCCGTGACTTCAACATGAGTGTCGAACTTGACCAGCGGAGCTATCACCAACTTCTGGATCGGCAGTTTGCGCAACTTAAGGACTTTTTGCTCAAGCAGACGACTTTTTAGCTCTCTTGGCCGAAACTCGCAACATTGAGTCAGCTTCATGCTTAACTGTTCATGGCTTTGCAGACGAGTCCTGATTGCTAGACAGATGTACATTCCTCTCAGTTTGATCGCAGGATCGGCACAAGCAACTCAACAGTCTCCTCACAGGGTAGATCATGGATTTGAGGCAGTTGGAGCGGATACCTGAGCAGAATATCCCGGACCTCTTGCATGCAATTGATCTTCTTACTGTTCGTGCTGACAAGGCACTTGATCTTGGCAGATGAAGAAGAAACTCCCATAGGGACATTCCCAGTAGACGAGACCCCCTTACGAAAGACTTGCTCGTGGAAGAATGAGGAAGCTTGGTCGAGGACTTATCCCGCTCAACTGGCAGATCATCTAGATCCGAGCTATGCAGCTCCCATCTTTCAACATCTTCGGCTGGGGGCAGACCATCAGCCTCCTTTTGATGTTCACTCAACTACCAGCGCAATCCACAGAACCTGGTAAGGATGTTCGAAGCTTGATGAACATTGATCATGTTCGGGCCGAGATCGAGCTTCTTGTGGATTTCATTTTCTACAAGCAGAAGATAGAAGTCAGTCAGACACACAACAAAGAATTCCATGGCTACTGTAGCAGATCAAAGGGATGCAACTTACCATCACAATATGTGAGAAGAACGAGCGGACCGTCGCCAACCTCCCCTACCCATCTGCCGCTGACTTCCAACATGTCTGTGCTCTATACATGATTGCCTTCACTCATATTGTTCCTAGTTCATGACACAAAAAGAAGAAATTGAAGCAGTTTGGATCAACCACAAATAAGCAGACCCAAACTGCCACCTGCTCCAACAGCAGGCTGGCTCGCCTCCAACCCAATTACAGCTGGACAGCCCAAGTTAAAAGACCAAAGTGGCAAGTCCAAGACCTCCTCCACGCAGGAGCCCAAATCAAAGAAGGAAGCCCAGTTACAACTGGACATCCCAACAGATAATTCACATATCCTACATGCCGCCACACGCCATGCAGAAGCTGGGGGGCATTTGTGGGAATCAATTAAATCAAAACCCTATGTTAAATAATTCCTTCCATTTGGGGATTATTTGACCTAATTGGGAATTACTCAACCTAATTGGGAGTTACTCAATTTAATTGGGGGTTACCCAATTAAATTGATAATTACCTAATTAAATTGAGATTTGATTTGATTCCTACCACAATTAAGGATTTGACTTACCCTAATTAATCAAATCAATGCCAAATTGGGGAGGAATAATTCCTTACCAACTACGGAATTATTCCTTACCAACTACGGAATTATTCCTCTAAAACCCTAGTCTCCGAGACCACTATAAAAAGATGGCCACACACAAGGGTGAAGATACGTCTAATTCCTACTAAAACTCTACAGAAATCATTTCTCCAAAACCCTAGCCACCATATTCTTTCTCTCTCTGACACATGGCTCCGGCCACCACACACGGCTCCGGCCACCCGGTTTTCCTTGAAATACCCTACCTAACTTAGGCATCGGAGGGCCTTTGGCCAACACCCCCCGGGTGTGGTCCTTTTACCCCGATCTGTTTTTTAGGAAGAAAGAGAAATGGAGAAGACGAAGGAATCTTTGGCGAATATTCTAGTGGGACGAAATTTGCTCCCACAGTAATCATGATCAGCATCACATCCCACGGTGGAGTCACACTCATCAACAACCTTGGCTTTGACACTCCTTCCGTTACCATGGATGATAATGCCGTCTAAACATTGGCTCCTTTTCTTGAACCACCTTGTTGACAAAGCCATGACAGGGGTGCTATCCGAGTGGTATTTGTTGTCACATTCACATGGAGCACTGCCATCACCACCCTTCTGAAAGCTGTTGATGGTCAAGGTTGCTTTTGTACGCTTAGACACCCACGGCAAGCACGTGTAGGTGGTGTAAAGCTTGCCTTTTTCGCAGCAGTCGGACTGATTGTCCTTGTTGCATTGTCCCTTAGGAGGCTTTGTCCCCCTGATCTTGCCGCTAGGCTTGCATGTTTGAGCTTCAATGCTCCAGTTTGAAGCAAGAATGATTAAGATGAAGAGAAAAGCACCTGAGAAAATTTGATTCTTCATCTTTTTCTTTCTCTTGCTTTCGTTTATGTTTGTTTGGAGAAGTTGGATACTAAGTTGGCTATATATAGAGAACATGAACTGCCTGAAAAAGCTGGTTATTTTGTGTACAAATTATGACACTTTTGTAGTCTTTGTAGAGTGAGTATAAGGTTTCTTAAATATACCTTTCCATATACAACTAATGAAGTATATGAATTAAACAACGTCATAAGCATACAATCTGATTCTCTGCAGACAATAATAAAAACGTCAAAAAGATTCTCAATGGTGTTGATTATATCACCCTATTTTTGTATCTACTGTTTGTTTCGGATCTGTATGAGATGGCTTGATTCAAATGCTAGATGATTCATCACTAACATAAATACTAAAAGATCCATCAACAATAAATAAATAAATAATTGAAAGAGTCTTTTGACGAAAATTGAGGTTCCAAAGCGAGACAATTCTTCACATCCTTACATCTTTAGAGATTGAGACGGCTGTAATAAAACCTAGAACTGACAGAGATTCAAATGAGCCTAACCAGGCCTGATTTGCAATGCAATTATGCATGATTCTTAAATGTTTGGAATTTCAGATTGTCAATGAAAACCAATTTTCCAATATCACACCTTAAAATACAGAGAGGTTATTATTTGATTGACATACATTGTTTGATTCTTCTTCGACAGCCTAAGTTTTTGGGGTCAAGTGTCTAACATAATATCAAAGCCTCCAGTCCTCATTTTCTCTTTACATTTCTCTTTATACTACCTTTTCATGTGCATGATTTTAGGCTGCACGGGTGTTAGCTTGATATATATTGTTGTCTCATTCTCGAACAACTCAAATCTTCGGAGTTTAATGATTGTATGATTATATATATATATATATATTTACTCTATGCTGAAATCTTTATTTGAGTCAGTAAATAAGGCACCAAGTGACGGCCCAATCAGTATACAATTCATGACGGCCAATAGTTCCTTTCTGGCAAACCATCTCCCAGTGAAAAACACTTTAAAGACAACATCCTTAAAAATTTATACTAGAGAAAGCATTGGTTCTTGTTTTATTTTCATCTGAAGGTGACATATTAAAACATGGGGAATGCTAGCAACTTCTCTCTAACCTTATCTTTTGGACCTTCTCCCTTTTTTGCTTAACATATGTCATTCTCCTTACGCTTAAAAAAATGTCATTAATATATTATACAAGCTAAATTTTGCTTTCCAAGTTTACCCTTATTAAATGTATTCAATTTATCCAAAAAAGATTTCACAACTTTCTTACCATCTCTTTATTATTTTTTTTAATGTCAAATTTTTTTATTTAAGAAATTGTTTTTTTTTTTAAAAAAAAAAAAAAAAAAAAAAAAAAAAAAAAAAAAAGGAATCCCCTTTTTTTAACGTCAAGTTTAGACTTTTTTTTTTATTGAAAAAAAGGGGATTCCTCTCTCTTTTTTTTTTTTTTTTTTTTTTTTTTTTTTTTTTTTTAAACATTTTCTTTTTAAAAAAAAAAATTGACGTTTAAAAAAAATTTAATATTTAGATAGATAAGAAAGTTGTGAATTTGTTTTTGGATAAATTGAATACATTTAATAAGGGTAAACTTGGAAAGCAAAAGTTAGATTGTATAATATATTAATGACATTGTTTTAAGTGTAAGGAGAATGACACATGTCAAGCAAAAAATGGAGAATGTCCAAAGGAGAAGGTTAGTGAGAAGGTTGCTAACATTCCTCTTAAAACATTATATCTTTTTGTTGGTGATGCCAAATTGCCAATGCAACAACAAAAGACAAGTTTCCTCAGTCTGAAAGAAGCAAACAAGTGGTCAATTCTACGTTACATACACGATGGCATTCCCATATACGGTTTTAACTTTTCAATAGAATCTTATTTTGATTGGTAGGATCTTAACGGCGATTATAATATCGTATGTGCTGTCATTGCAAGGAAGATGTATATGAAATGAGTTGCCTTGAATGGAGGGGTGTTCAACTCCAATTTTAATAATGGCTAAAAGAGGTACCAGGTGTTGAGAGTATCTTACGTCGAAAGATGGAAGCTTAACACTCGAATAATTCTTATAAAGTGAAATATGAGTGGAGAGGCCCAAAAATAATTTAAGCCGAAAATCAATTGACAATGAGTGGAGAGGCCCAAAAATAGTTTAAGCACTCTCAATGAGTGGAGAGCCCCTCCAACCCTAACTTTTCATGATTTTGCCTTATGCCCAAAATCTTTTAAGCACTCTAAACAGGGGAGCCCCAACAACTCTAACTTTTCATGATTCTGTGAGTAGTAATTAAAAAAAAGAAAAAAAAAGTGCAAACAACGGTTGACATGGTACAAATAAAAAAATTGAAGAATTTTAAACTAGCATTTGTAATGCCATATCCAATCTTTCCTGCAATGAAAATTGAGAAATAGGAACTATAGATAGAAGTATGTCATGAAAAAAAACCATGCCCGAGGGTCTGGACTAAAATTTTGACCCTCAGCATAATTGATCCATATTATAAAATTATTCCGCCATTGCCGTTACGTTGATGGAGTGTATAATATATTGAATTTCAAACCAAGTTGGCAAAGAAACTAATTAGCTCTTTCAGAGTTGGAATGCAGTATTGTCGTTCTGCTAATATCACCAGGGGAATTCCTATATATATCAACCATCAATGCTTTATGCATCAAATCAAGCATATCCCACCCAAGGGCACCAATAGTAGTAAGAGAGAGAGAGAGAAAAAAAATGAAGAGCTTTTTCTCAAATGGGTCCATTGTCCTACTAGTCATTCTCCTTTCAACAATTTGCTTGGTGGCTGAAACTCAGCAATGTCGTCCAAGCGGTAAGATTAGAGGAAGGAAGGCCCCTCCTGGACAATGCAACAAGGAAAATGACTCTGACTGCTGCGTTGCCGGCAAAATGTACCCGACCTACACATGTTCACCACCATTGTCCGGGAGCACCAAGGCCTACCTAACTCTCAACAGTTTTGAGAAAAATGGAGACGGAGGTGGTCCATCAGAATGTGACAACAAATACCACAATGACAACACACCGGTTGTGGCATTGTCCACTGGATGGTACAGCAATGGAGGAAGGTGCCATAACCACATCAGAATTAATGGTAACGGGCGCAGTGTGGTGGCCATGGTGGTAGATGAGTGTGACTCTACAGAGGGATGTGATGCAGACCATGACTACCAACCTCCTTGTCCCAACAACATTGTTGACGCTTCAAAGGCTGTCTGGAAAGCCTTGGGTGTGCCTGAGGGCAATTGGGGTGGCTTAGATATCACATGGTCTGATGTTTAGCTACCTTAGTGTCTGTCGGTCTAGCTTGTTGCTTTATGTGTATTGTATGTACTGTGTGGAATTTTCTCTGAAATATGTCTTGTATATTATAGAAGTCAATATAGAGCATTGACTTCTTCTATCTCATATTGTGGTCAATGTGAAATATAACACAATATCAAACACAGACTTTGTTTTAATTTATTATCTGGTTCTCATCTCATACCTCCTAATGTATCCATCTCTATGATATGGAGATGAACTGCTTGAAGCATCTATATATATGTAGTTTTCCTTTTCTTTTCTGTAGAGTGAGTATAGTATTACTTTGAAGATTCCTTTCTGCAATATAATAATGAGGTATATGAATTAAAAAGACTATAATATGTACAATCTGAAGTGAAGACAGTATGAAAAATCTCAGAAAGCTTCTAAGCACTGTTGATCATAGCACCATGTACATAAGTATCACTTTTGTATTTACTGTTTATTTCCCAGCTTGAATCTGTATTAGATTAACATGGATGGTTCCAATTCTAGCAAGAATCTTAAGATGTTCCCAAATTCTTGGCTCCATCAGTATGAAAAATGAGAGAGTCCAATTACCCAATGCTTGGAACCTCAGACTGTATAACTTCATGGGGAGACACTATCTAACCAGCTTATCCAAAAGAAGCACCATGTCTAAACAAGTAGTTTGAATGCAAGGTTTAAAGGCATCGAAATGGCTTCTTACAGCTCTAGTAGTAGAATACTTACCCTCACACACCTACGACAAGAACTCGACTGTCCATCCCCCTCTCCAGGCTTAGGATACTTTGAACCAAAAGAAAGAAGATGACAATTTCACTACACTATATTTAGTTTGAATTTAGCATTCATGATATCAATTTAACATTGATGGTTTCAGTTTATCTATGGTTTGAATTTACCATCACATATTGGCATAGTAGACTTATTTCCTTTGAAGAATTAAAAAAGGAGATTGAAGTTCCTTTTTAAGTATCCAGGCACATATGCTTGTAGAATCGTGGCACACATGCCTATTAACACCTTCCCATATCAACAACTGGCATTAAAATGTTCAGAAGATGGTACCATATTAGCGGTCATGATGTCTAGTACCATTCTAATACAGACGTTGCTGTCACGGTCTGCTACTTGCTAATATTTGGCTTATGTGAGTGATGCTATGATAGGCATAAGCCTTGCTATCTAAATGCTTGAAAAAAAATCAACTTTATGGCTGAGGCTGACGGAAATTCAACAAAAAATGTAGTCTGGTCTGGTCGATCTCTACGCTATTAGATTGATTATTATAGCGGTAACTATGAAAATTCTCCAGTAATTATAATGGACAGCATTGTAGTCTTAGCAGCAGATGGGTTCAATATTTATTTTAGCAAGAATATCATATTGTATATATGTATAACTATAATATCTAGTTGTCTTCTTGCGTTTGGAAGAAGAATGTGCATAGATAAAAGGATTAATTATGATTTTGACCCTTCGCATAATTGGGGAGAATTTATTTTTAAATGATTCAGGCCATTAGGCCAAATCCGTTACGTTTATGGAGTGTATGATCCATATTGTGCGTAGCGAATGATATGTTTTATAGTGAATAGTATCTTCTGTTATGCTGATTGCTATATATACCACCATCAAATGCTTTCTATACATCAAATATATCCCACACAAGAGTACAATAGTAGTAAAAGAGAGATAGAGAGATAGAAAATGAAGAGCTCAGCAATTTTCTCACAAGGCTCCATTCTCCTACTTGTCATTCTACTTTCAACAATTTGCTTGGTGACTGAAGCTCAGCAGTGTCGTCCAAGCGGCAGAATCAGAGGAAGGAAGGCCCCTGCTGGACAATGCAACCAGGAGAACGACTCTGATTGCTGTGTTGCCGGAAAAATGTACCCAACCTACACATGTTCACCGCCATTGTCTGGGAGCACCAAGGCCTACCTCACTCTTAATAGTTTCGAGGCAGGTGGTGATGGTGGCGGTCCATCAGAATGTGACAACAAATACCACAATGACAACACACCAGTTGTGGCATTGTCCACTGGATGGTACAACAATGGAGGAAGGTGCCATAACAACATCACAATTAGAGCTAATGGCCGCAGTGTGGTGGCCATGGTGGTGGATGAGTGTGACTCTACTGAGGGATGTGATGCTGACCATGACTACCAACCTCCTTGTCCTAACAACATTGTTGATGCTTCAAAGGCTGTCTGGAAAGCCTTGGGTGTGCCTGAGGACAACTGGGGTGGCTTAGATATCACATGGTCCGATGCTTAGTTATATCAGTGTGATCTGTCCAGCTAGCTTGTTGCTTTCTGTCTATGTATGTGTAACATATTTTATAATATATATATATGTTATAGAAGTCAACATTGAGGATTGGCTTCTGATTGTGTGAAACTGAACATAGAACATTACAAAACATGGACTTCTTTGTTTTTTTCTGTTTGTCACCACTAGCATTGCAGGTTTAAGCTTCAGATCTCAGCCAGTTTGTAAAAAGAAGAATGAAGGGGAAGGAGAAAGGCACCTGAACAAATCTTGTTCTTCATCTTCTTCCTTCTCTTACTTCGATAAAATTTTGGTTTGAGGATCCTAAGTTTGCAGCAACTGTGTTTTTTTTTCCCTTTTTTCTGTCAAATTTTTATATGTTTGTAGCTTCCTAGTGCATCTATGTTGGATGATCTTGGTTGATTCCAATACTAGAGAGATCCTTCAGGTTCTAAATCTTAAGGCAAGACTATAAGTCTTGGACCGGAAGAGATGCAAATAAGCCTAATTAAGCTTGAGATGGTACTAAAAAAATGTTTCAGCTTTTCTGATGAAAATGCAAAACAACCTTTTCTTTTTCTTTTGGTTTTGAAAGATCATTTGGAATTTCCTGTATCCATGTAGCTTGTCCTATAGAAGTGGTTTACATGCATTTAAATATCAGATTTTCTCACCAAACACCCTGTCTAAAGAAGTTGTTTATATCAACATAAGAGTAGCAGACAGTAAAGACTAGTTTACATTTTGAAATCCAAGAGATATATATATACACACACACACACTATCTAACCAGCTTGTCCAAAAGAAGCACCCTGTCTAAACAAGTAGTTTGAATGCAAGGGTTTAAAGGCATCGAAACGGCGTCTTATAGCTCTAGTAGTAGAATACTTACCCTCACACACCTACGACAAGAACTCGACTGTCCATCCCCCTCTCCAGGCTGTGGATAATTTAAACCAGAAGTAAGAAGACGACAATTTCACTACGCTATATATTTAGTTTGAATTTAGCATTATGATATCAATTTAACATTGATATGGTTTAAGTTTATCTTCATGGTTTGAATTTACCATCACATATAGGCATCCAGGCACACATGCATGTAGAATCGCAACACATTCTTGATGAACTGTTTGAGTGTTTGTGTTTCTAAAATCATACTAGAGATAGTACCATATTAGCAGTCATGATGTCTAGTACCCTTCTAATACAGACGTTGCTGTCACGTTCTGCTAATGTGAGTGATGCTATGATCGGCATAATCCTTGCTATCTAAATGCTTGAAAATTAAACTGAGCTTTATGTTCTCTGGCTGAGGTTGACTGAAGTTCAACAAAATAGTAGTCTGGTCTGGTGGATCCGTACGCTATAAGATTGAATATTGTAGTGATAACCATGAAAATTCTCCAGTAGGTATAATAAACAGCATTGTAGCCTTAGCAGCAGATGGGTTCGAAGATTTATTTTAGCAATAGAGTATCATATTTTATGTATAATATACAATTGTCTTCTTGCGGTTGGCTTTTGGGAATTGATTAAGATTTTGACATTTTTAAACTAAATCCTCAATGGCCAAGAAGGATGTGCATAATTAAAAGGATTAATTAAGGTTTTGACGCTTAGCACAATTGGGGAAGATTTATTTTTAAATGATTGAGGTCATTAGGCCAAGTCCGTTACGTTCATGGAGTGTATAATCCATATTGTGCGTAGCAAATGATACGTTAAATAGTGATTAGTAAATATAATTAATTAGTAAACATTACTTTTTAGCCACATATGCAGAGGATTTATTACCTCTAGAATATATGCTTTTCATCATAAAAAAAAAAAAAAAACTTCTTGCCTACAAAAAAAATAAAAAATGTATACTTTACTTGTAGCCCACAATATTTGTCTTAGTAAACATGTAGCTTCGTGCCTTATGCAAGTGTCAAACCAACGCCGATTAGCGGGGACTTTGTATTTTCCTACCCATTGGAGATGTTTTTGTTGCCGACATGGTGTTTAGGGGTAGTTGTGTTCACGTGGGTGACGCAGTGTTAGAAGTGGATTTGATTCCTTTGGATATCATCAACCTTGATGTTATTATGGGAATGGTTTGGTTGGCAAGACACCATACTTCGGTAGATTGTTTCCAGAAGGAGTTTGTATTTTGAAGCCCCGGAAAACCCGAGGTATGAAGAGCGTAAGGTTGTCCCGTGTTTTGATTTCGGCCTTGACACTAAAATGATTACTTAAGAAGGGGTCAATATGTCTCCCAAAAAAAAAGGGTGATGAAAATAGTCATTGTAACAACAAAAAAACCATAAAATAGCCATACATAAACTTAATAATCAAAACATGTATAGCCGTGCGGCTATACCTTTTAAATATATTTTTTTATTTGAGGCGTATAGCCGCCCGGCTATACTCTAAAATATATATTTTTCTATAGCCAATCGGCTATACCCTTTAAATTTAATTTATTTAAGCAGTATAGGGCTATACTCGTTACTTTTTAGGGAGTTTCACTAAAACACCCAAAATGGGGGTTGAAATTATAAAAAAACCCAAGCACTATTTAAACATATAAACACACCCAAAACCCATCATTACACACACTCAAAACCCATTTATAAACACACCCAAAAAGTTACTTTGGGGTTGATTTTGGGTGTGTTTCTATGTTTAAATAGTGCTTGGGTTTTTTTATAAATACATGTCTAGGATTGGGTTTATTTATAAATTTGTATACTTTTTATTTAAGCAGTACAGCCATGGCAATACATTTTAAATATATATATTTTTTAATTTGAGGAGTATAACCGCACGGCTAGACAGTTTAAATAAAATTTTTAATTGAAGAAGTATAGCCGACCGGCCATACCCTTTAAATATATATATATATATATATATATTATTTAATTTAGGAGTATAGCCGTGTGCCTAGACTCTTTAATTTGGTGGGGTTTACTTGATGAGGCACCCAAGGTTCAGGGGTAAGATGCCATCAGCCCCAGTTAACTTCTTCAGAAGGCTGCCAGCGAGGACAGATAGTATATTGTAAAAGGTCTATTGAGATGTGCTAAAGTTTTCCCTGCTAAATCTTATGACGTATCTGCGGCTGTTCTGTTTATTGTTTATTTGTCCCATCCCATGGAAGTTTATTATACACATGTTTGCAAACTGTTGTAATCAAGGTTAGTGGTATGGAACTATGGATGTTGGTAGCAAGATTACTATTGATTTGCTCCAGTGGTGTTGGTAGCCGAATTCAAATCTTGTTTAGTAAAAGTTGTTTTACCATCCTGTTCCAAGTGGCGATTCAAAGTAATTTTGAGGTTATATGTATTCGTAAAACAGAGTGTGTCCAGGAACGAATGAAGCTGCGGAGGAATCTGCATTTGTCTTACAAGCCCTTAATTTCATGAGAAACCAAATTCTAATTGTCATCTCCACATCCAAACATCTAAAAAATTCTTGCAGGACCTCTCTTAGAGAATGTCTAATGCAAGGGGCAATGACAAGGGGCTAGGTGCTGTTTTAACCATGGTCTAAAATATCGATGATATCGGAAATATCGGTAGTCCAAAAACATGGAAATTTCAATGGAAATATCGGGATATTATCGATATCAATAAAAATTGAATAAAAACCATAGAAATTGTAAGAAAAACTTGAAAATTTTTATTGAAACTTTGGAGAATGTTTATTTAGTCAATGATCTATTAGTTTATCAAAACAAATTAGAAGGAAATGCATTACATAATGGATTTAACTGATTTAAGTTGATTATACAGCGAGCTGGCAAACACTGTGAGTGTAGAAAATATGTAGTAATTAATGAAAAAAAGATTAAACACACCATAATCATTTATATATAATGATTTACTACAATATTTTACACTTTATACATTGCATGGTAAGATACATGAGTGACTTAGTACCACATAGAGTTCCTATGAGGTTTAAATTTTTCACTATCTTCATCATCTCTATGTGTAGAGTAAATGTATTGTGAAGAGTATTCATCAAATGATAAATCCACAAAATTGTTTTGCATGTAATTGTTAACATGGCACCCATATAAATATAAATATTTTAGCATATTATCACTAAAACATAAGTGATATATGGTGGTTAAGGTGTTGGAGGAGTAAAATGGAAGGGGTTCAAATCCCCTTTGTGTTTTTTTTTCCTCCCTTTTTACCCTTTTTTTTTCTTCTTCTCTTTCCTTTTTTTTTCTTCCTTTACATCGATATTTTCGATATTTTAGCGATATTACACCGATATTTTGACAAAATATTGCTTAAGTGTGAGCGAAATTATCGACATCGATATTTTCCGATATTATTATCGATATTGTCGATATTTATACGATATGTACATGGATATGTTCCAAAATATCCGTAATTCGAAAAAACATTATCGATATTTCAGACTATGGTTTTAACCCCTCAAAATGGTACTATTCACAAAATATAGCCTCTCAAATTTTCAGGGTCCTAGGGCTAGGGGATAAAACACAAAATTTGTTATTTTATGTGATAAAAAATCAAAGCATAAAAAAAGCAACCCAAAAATTTATTTTTGTAAACAATTTTGAGGGGCTTGGAATATATAAAAAAGCAGCTGAAAAAACAAGTAAAAAGGGTTCGAAGTATATAATAATTAAAAAATTCAAAAAATTAAAAATAAAAAAAAACTAAACAGCCCAACAACTAGCTGTTAGGCAATTGTTATTGAAGGCGCCACATGGCAGATCCTCATAGGTCAAAGCATTTGGAAAAGCAGCTTTTGATGCCCCACAATTTTTTTCTTCCAAAAACTGACTTTGGGGTCCACTCTTCCCCAGCCCTTGGGCAAAACTAAAATCTTATCTTGCCTTAGCCAAACTAGACTGGGCCAAACACATGCATTAGTAAGTGTTCTTTATTTATTTATAGAATAATGTTATTCTTACCACATTTGTATACCATATTTTTATATCATCTTATGTGGCAGCTGAGATGAACATCCACATC